AAAAGTGGACTCAATTTGCACTATTTCTGGCAATCTGCAACCCCCTAATTCTCAGCACTGGAATTGCATTAAGTATTTCTCTACCCCCCAACCTGTTTTGCATTTATTTGTTTATTAGATATATTTGTCCCTCACTTTTCTTCTAATAAGTTCAAGGCAACATATATAGCTCTCGTTCTTCCCACTGTATCCTCAAAACAACCCAGTGAGGTAGGTCACACTGAAAGGAAGTATGGCAGTTGAAGGCTACCCAGCCAGTTTAATGTCTGAATAAAGACCAGAACTTGGATCTCCCAATTCCCAGTCCAACAGTTTAACCACAGCACCACATTGACCCTTACTAGAGCAAGGGTGGGCAACTGTGGCCCTCCAGATATTTTTGGCTTACAACTTTGGATCCAATACTCCTAAACTGCATTTTTCAGCAAATGCTTTATGGCAGAATGTTTGTTGCCAGCATTACAGTTCCTCTCCAGCATTTTGATTCATTCCATATTCAAATTCTTTCTGGTAATAGGAATGCCAGTATCATCATCTCAAGAACTAGAGAGAGAGTTAGGTGTAAAAAACATGTAAATGTTTCCTGATTTATATATGGTTTTTACTGTGGAAGAAATTGTAGCAAAGGCTTTCATAGACTTTGCCTGCTTCCTCGGATATATGGCCCATGCATCTAAGGAAGTAGACCAAGTATATGAAAGCTTACATTACAATCTCTTTCACAGAGTTAGGAGGTTATCACACCCCTTTTTCTCCTGAGCTGGGCATGGGCTGGACACAGGAGTAAACTGTTTAAAAATGAATATTATTGCATACCTTCATGCCCATCTTGGAGGCACCATATACCCGGTGCGGACTTCTCCTGGACTTCGCAAAGAACAGAAAAGTTCCATCCTTAGTCTCGAAGGTGCTACAAGATCCCTTTGCATACTGATATTCCAGACTAACATGGCTATGGAGATTATTTCATGTGCTTTATCCCGTTGTTTTCCCAACATGATACATGTGTGTTTAACTTCAAAGACAGCATTCTCCCATAAGCAGCCTGTATGCAACCCAGGCTTATCCTGTGGCTTTTGAAGGATGGGAAAATCTGGGCATAATGGTAAGGAGGAGCTCTGTATAGATTCCTATGTGTTCTAGATCAGGCAGCAAACCTACATCTGTAGGGCAAACACTTCTGTAGCAAGGGTGGGGGACCTCTTTTGGTCCAAGGACAAAAATCAATTCAGAGAAGTTCTCTGGGGGCACATCCCAGTGATGTGTGGGGCAAAAGACAAAAAGATGAATTTTAAAAATACCAATATATCATCAGGTTCTAGACCTTAGGGATGTGGTGGCTTAGTGGTTAAAGATGCCAATTCTGAAGATCGTAAGGTTGAAGGTTGGCATTTCGAGGCTAGGGTGCTGCATGATGGGGTGAGCTCCCCTCACTAGTCTCAGCTTCTACCAATGTAGCAGTTTGAAAGCATGCTAATGCAAGTAGATAAATAGGTACCACTTTGGGAAGGTAACAGCATTCGGTGTAGTCATGTTGGCCACATGACCACCCAAGTCATCTTTAGACAACGCTGCCCCTTCAGCTTAGTAACAGGGATGAGCACCCCCCTACAGTTGCTTACGACCAGACATTCGTGTCAAGGGTCTACCTTTACCTTTTTTTTACCTACTAGGCCTTAGGAGAGGTATTTCATTATCTGAGAATGGGGAAAATCTCATGCTGGGTTGGAAAACCATCAAATGATGGTGTCATGGGAGAAAGTGGCATTGCCGTGTGTGTGTATGTGTGTGGGGTCCCAGTGGGATAACTTGGAGCCCTAAGAAGATGTAATGTTTCCTCAAGGACTGAGGCTCTCCACCCACATTTCAAATATATCCTCCTTGCAAATATACATCACTAGTACAGCCAGCAAGGGGAGCCCACAGATTCAGCCTCCTTTTTCCTTTTGAAGACAAGTGCCCAGGGATGCCAGGACCATTTTAGAAGTGTGAGGGGACTCAAGACTGACAGACAAGTCACTGTGAATTTTGCATGCTTTTATGTTTGATTTACAAAATAGTAAAAACATAGAACACTATCAATAATAATACCTCCATCTAATGAAGTTAACAATCTGGGTACCATGAAGACAATGACAAAATAATAAATGAAAGATGATAAAATTGTTAAAGTATAAAAGTTCATATATCCAGGAAAGGGGAAAATACATGAGATACTGCTAAGCAAATGTAAAGATGGTTATAAACTAGGACACTTCTGAGTGATGGTTCCTCAGGGGACTCAACTACACAGGTGTCTTGGCAGGCCTGATATTTGGTGCCTGATTATTTCAGAGGGGGCTCAGTTCCGTCAGCAAAGCATTAGGGTCTTGAACCCTCTGGATCCCTGTTCTGAGGTCCACACAAGCATCTTGCTATGCCTTTTATTATCTTGATACAGTCTGGGTGTTCTTCCTTCATTTATTTCCCATGGACTTATTTCTAGCTTTGACATTTGTACCAGGTTTCTTGCTGCCTGCTCCACATGATGTCAAAGCTGACATTTCCAAACATCTAATACTTCTTTGATCAAGCCATGCATGTAGAAACTAATAAATGCAGTTGTCATAGTGAAGCAAGCTATATACTAGTTTAATATTCCAAATGTTTTTTTTTTTTAGGTTTTGCTGCATTTATTTATCCATGTATAAATTTCTCAGAGTCATCTCTCCTTGCCTTGAGAACATTCAAAACAACATGCAGTAAGACTTCAACCAGCCTACCTACCTATCTGCAGTTAGGCTTTCCAGGATGTATCCAGCCTACAGTAGAGGAATCCTCCTCCAAAGATACTGCTGTATGACCCTCAACAGTCTACCACACCTCCGTGAACACAGCTTGATGCCAGAAGCTAAGTAGGATCTGGCCTAGTTAATAGATGAACAATAATTTCTATTTGTTAATTACTTTTGAAATCTAATAAGCTACAGATAACTATTTTATTTGTAACTCTTTGGGTTAAATCCAGTGTTAGTCCCAATAGCAGTATTATTATTGTAGTTAACTGCCCTTGAGTTGATCCCCTCTGAGACATCTTCAAGCCACCTTGTCCTCCATTGCTCTGCTTAGGTTCTGCAGATTCAGGATCATGACTCTGGAGACCAGGGTTCAAATCCCCACTCAGCCATGGAAACCCACTGGGTGACTTTGGCCAAGTCATTCTCTAAGCCTCAGAGGAAAGCAAAGACAAACATCCTCTGAACAAATCCTGCCAAGAAAACTATGTGATAAGATTGCTTTGTCTGTGCTGTGAGCCTTCAAGTCATTTCCAACTTATGGCAACCCTAAGGTGAACCTATCATGGGGTTGTCTTGGCAAGATTTGTTCAGAGGAGGTTTGCAATGCCTTTCCCTGAGGCTGAGAGCATATGACTTACTAAAGGTCACCCAGTGGGTTTATGGCTGAGCTGGGTATCGAACCCTGGTCTCCAGAGTTTTCGTCTGACACTCAAACCACTATACCACACTGGCTCCTAGGTTTGCTTTAGCAATAGCAAGTACATTTCTATACTGCTTATCAGTGCACTTAAGCACTCCCTAAGCTGTTTACAACTGTAAGCTAATGGCCTCCAACAAGCTGGGTACTCATTTTAGCAACCTTGGAAGGATACAAGCCTGAGTTGAGCCTGAGCCCCTGGCTGGTATTGAACTCACAATCTTGTGACTTGTGAGTGAATGGCTGTAGTGCAGGCATTTAACCACTGCATCACCAGGGCTCCTTTAGGAGTGACCATGAATCAGAATGACTTGAAGACAAAGAACATCAACTAAAAGTTTCACTGAAAAGAGTAGGGCATACTTCTGCATAAATTTGCATGAGATTGTGCCGTCAATATCTTAAACTGGAGATGGAGAACACCCAGATATTGGACTGTTGCTCCTATGATCCCTCACTATTGTATATGCTGGTTAAGACTGGGGAATCTGCAGTCCAACGACAACTGGATATGCCACACAAGATTCAGATTCACATTTTACGAGAAAAATATGCCATCCTGACCAGAAGCTTTCCACCAGTTTCCCACCTCTTGGCTGCAGACAGTTTTAAACACATGCTTCATTTGAGGTTAGATAGTGTTTAAATATCTGAAGGTAAATAAATACCACAGAGTCTATGGCTTTCCAAAGAAAACAGTACCAGCTTGAGTAAGTTGTTTACATGACAGGCCTTTCAAAGCAGGTACTCATTTACTATTAAACCAACCACCACGGCCTTTGGGATATTCATTAAAAAGCCAAATATTGATGTTAACAAAAAATGATATTCCCTCAGGTATGGCATCTAGACCCTGCTGTTCCCACCCAGAAGTGAAAATGGTAATTAATGTACTTTTATTAAGTTTGTACTTACTAGAAAACTAACCTTTACACCCTGTACTAGATTTTTTTGAGGTATCTCAGAGCTAATGGATCTTGAAGAGGGCCATTTATGTGTGTCAATGTATATATCTTCAAGTTGCCTTGGCAAAAAATACTCAAAGGTGGTTTTGCCAGTTCCTTCCTCTGAAATATAGCCTACAGCACCTGGTATTCATCGGTAGTATCCCATGTGAGTACTAACCAAGCACTGAGCCATGGCAGTTAAAGCAGTGTCAAACTGGATTAATTCTGCAATGTAGATGCAGCCCTGGTATTTAGCTGTGAGAAAAGAAAACTGCAATGGAAGAGAAAGAGAATAGCTAGAGTAAGTGAGACATGAACAAAAATAACTAGGACATGCAAACAGCAGAGGGAAGTTGCAACGAACAAAAAGAAGAAGACAAACATGAGTATGAATAAAGATGAAGAGGTAAGAGAAAGACAGCAGAATATGTTCATGCCAGGTGTAATGCCTCTCCTTTAACAGACTGCCATTTCTTCAAACCCACTATTTTCACTGCGGTTCACATCAGCGCCCTTTCACACTATAACACTATATTCCACTTTATCTGCCATGGCAGCATCCTATGGGACCCTAAGATTTGCAGTGTGTGTGTGTGTGTGTGAGAAAGAGAGAAAGAGAGAGAGAGAGAGAGAGAGAGAGAGAAGACGGGCATTTAGCCTTCTCAGCAAAAGCTCTAGTGCCCTATCAAACTACAAGGCCCAGAATTCCACAGGACGTTGCCATAGTGGTTAAAGTCAAATATAGCACTATAATTGTGTAGTGTGAAAGAACTTTGGTAAACCATGGTTTGTTGCATTCAGATACAGCAAGCGCTTTCAGTCTACTTCCCTCAGGCATGAGAGGAAGAGAGGAGGAAGGTACACCAACACAAGGCTTACCATTACTTGTTTTTAATTTTTTGCACTTTGGTTTCAAGGATTGCATGAGTGTGGCTTTAAGCAAAATCTTTAAATTTTTTAAAAACGAAATTACACATTTCAGTGGTTCTGGAGAAGCAAAAGGCAGGATGCTCATTGGCATGTTGTCATTTTTAGCCAGCAAGGTATCTCTTCACCCCTTGTTGTGATTCCCTTCATGCCAATGACACCATCCAATGATGTTTAGTAGAAGCAGCAGCAGCTCTGGGTTTTAATCTGAACTTTAGAGGGACTGTTTGGAAAATGGGTTCAGCTTCTTGGATATTGCCTTTAAAGTTTGGATTAAACTCCAGAGTGGATCCACTGCCCAAGTAGCAGTGGGAATAGATTATATTCACTCTTCTCATATGAGGAGGGAGCCAGTGTGGTGTAGTGGTTTGGGTTTTGGATTAGAATTCTGGAGACCAGGGTTGAAATCTCTCCTCAGGCATCGAAACCCTGGGTGACCTTGGGTAAGTCACACATTCTCAGCCTCAGAGGTAGGCAAGGGCAAGCCAGCTTTGAATAAATCTTACCAAGAAACTCCTGTGATAGGTTCATCTTACGGCTGCCATTAAGTCAGAAATAACTTGAAGGCACACAACAATATGAAGTGAATCCATTCTATTTATGGTGGTTTTAGAAGTGTGGAAAGAAAATTCTATTCTGGACCCTTTAAAAATTACTTATATGATAAAAGTTCTGTTTTGTTTACGGTATTTTGTTTTTTTAAAAAAGAATTGGAGGCCTCACATTTAGAAATGATAGGTTTTGCTTCAAGCCAATTGGTAGAATTGCTGTTGTCAGGAGACTGCTCTTTACAGAGTTAAGAAAAGTTACTGTCTTTGACTATAGCAATCAATATGCTTTCTGTGAACTATAGTGCAAAAGAGTGATCTTTTCCAAACTCTAGCTCTTTATAGTTCCAGTTTCTGAGTCATCTCTTCATCTCACATTACTTCCTTCAAACATAGTCCTTTGGGGAGGGGGGGTTGAATTTTGAAGTCTGATATCTTTTAGGGAAAAAATGGGGAATTAATATTGGTTCATTTTCATCCTGTAGAGGAGCCATCCTGCATTATTTGAAAACCCTTCACATTGCAAAGATTCCAAGTTCTGCTGATGTGGCATTCCTTCTTCCAAGTCTTGGTTATTTCTTTTCTAACTCATCAAAGAGAAGGCATTCTTCCTATCCTTGCCTCTTCTTTTTCCAGACTGGATCTCTACACGTGGCAGTTGACTGCACCAATACTAGAAAGCAAGAATACTCCCTGCACATATTTTGTGCAATTTGGGATGGTTTTTGGCTTGCTTGCTCAAAGACGTGGGATGTTTTAAAGTGATAGAGAGGCTTTATAAATAAGGAATTGCTTGTGATTGAAAATAAAACAAATAGCACTGTAGAATGCTCCTGTCCACTGTTCCACTCAGAGCAGCATCCTATCCATCCTTTCCACCTTATGGAATGCTATGGCCACTGAGCATGCTCAGTCTGCAATTGGTTATTGAGGGGGTCTAGCCAGGATTTCTTCTTAGACTTTTGTATTTATGTGAACTTGGAGTGTTCCTTAAGGCTGTTCATTTCTTGTGCATGGGTGGTGCTATTTTGGCTTTATAGCCAGTACTTACAATGTACAATGGCATATTGCACACTCATCTATTCATGACCTAAAACTTTTTCACCCTATACAATTATAGTGCTATGATTCCACTTAACCACCATCTATTACCATTAAAAAAACTATTTAGAGAGTGTATACCCCACCTTTCAGCCAAAAAGGTTCCTAGGGTGACTTACAACTCATTCATTTGATGGTTTCCTGTCCTCAGTCTTACAATCTTACAATCTAAATAAAACAGGTTACACAAAGGAAAGGAGATGGTCGTGGGAATTAAATTTATCAGATGTTAGTTGCTGTTATTTTCATTCAGATGCCATAGCAATGGCAGCTGGAAGATGGTTTTGGACAGAGGTATGCTCACCAGCTGCTGAAATCAAGGTGTAATGGAGCCATGGCAACATCCTACAGACTCATGGGGTTTGTAGTTTGGGAAGACAGAGATCTCTAGCTGAGAATTCTAAATACTCCTCCCTAAACTTTACTACTAATGTCTGAAAGCACTCATGCCAACTCATATGAAAGTCTATAACAGATACCTATAGGTGTCTACTCAGAAGTAAGTGCCATTGTTTTCAGTGGGGCTTAAACCTAGCTAGCATTACAATCTTAGAAGCATGAATCCGCTGTCTGCACGGGGAAAATATCTTTTCAAAAGGGACTCTTAATTCTGTGCGACTTATAATTTTATGCCTTATCCTGTGGAATGCCTTTTCCCCCTGAAAAGGAATTTTATGACTTCTTTTCCACGTCATTCTCAGATGCTCAGATCCAAGGAAGAATTTTGCAAATAGCCAGTTCTTCCCTGCTCTTCCAGGTCTTCCTACAAACCATTTGCATCTTACACATAGACAGATATTTTGCCAAGTTCCCCCCTTCTTCCATGGGAGAAGAGAAAAGGATGCCTTCTTAAATCTGCTCTTGCCAGAAACTTGGTTTTAAAAAAGGCTTTTGATTTTGGCACCCAAAAACTGCATATGACTCTGAAGGAACCAAATGTTAGCCTAGCGGAATAAGCATCAGTCACATTGGCAGATGAGCTCTCTAAGGAGTGAAAATGTAAGCCATCAAGTTGTGCAAAAGCTCCAGTTCTAAGGATATCTACTTGAGAACAACAATTAGTTCCCATCAATGACACTTACTTCCATGGAAAAGTTCTGCAAATCAAGATGTAACTGTACTTTATAACCTGCACCTCCTCACCCTAAAAACTTCATGAGGAAAAAGACTCCAAATGAAAAGGTCTAGCTTTAACAAGACAGCAAGTATTAATAACATCAGGAGGGTGTGTGTGTTGGTCTTTTCTGTGCTATAAAAATTGTATGTGTCAGCCTCCTCATTTAAAATCTAAGCTGTGCAGTTAAAGTTCTCATCTGGAACACATATGCAGATTTAGACAGGGGAGAGTTAAGGGCTTGGATGCATTTGCTCACACTAAGATAAAAGGAATCTCTTGCAGGAATTCTGCCAGATTAGAATGGCATATTTTGCTTTCTGACGTGTCAAAGAGATGGAAATCAGACTGTATAAGAGTCTACAGACTGGCAAATACTTGTGTGCTGAATTCAGAGACTACTTTCTCTAAGCTTTCTGCACTTACAGAATTTAGAACAATGTAATTTTACAAAGGGAAAGTTGCATTTTAATAAGTTTTATCATTTAAAGAGCTGGTCAAAATGGAGAAAGTCTTCTGTGAAACTGTCCAAAAATATAAAGGTGAGAATTTTCTTAATTTTTTTCCCCTCAACAATTGTTTCTAAGGCTATAATCCCTAAAAATCGGTAAACTCAAGTAAAGAATACTGGAAAAAGACATGCTTGGGATGGTGCTGAAGGACATTACTTTCAATTCTTTTGTAAATATTTATATTCTCTCAAATAAAACTTGCAACTGAATGACATGCTTTTCAAGCTGGGACAATTATGATAGCATTTTAAATTTGGTTGCTCTTCTTGACCTTACTTTTGTTCCCCAAATAGGGGATCCGTTTTTAGAAGCAATCCTACACAAACTTACCTGCGAGCAATTCCCATTAAATTTGACAAAGTTTATTTATGAGTAGGCTTGTACAGTAGTGCACATTCCTGCAAATTATTTCTTCTTTCACATTGGAGGCAATCAGCTAAAAATTGTCTGCCACTGTTTCTTGATCTTTCCTGTGGACTGAGGAAAGAGTTAAGTCTCCATGAACATTAAATTCTTAGTGTTCCTTTTGAGAGTTCTCCCCCCCAAAAAAAGTCTGGATCCAAAATTCCCACTTCTCATAAACCAACAAAATGAATTATTCCTATGATTCTAGTGTCAGAGTTGTGGGAGGGGTAAGCTGTTCCCTTGTCCACCACAGGGAGACAGAAGAACTGTTTCCACTAAGACCATGTCCTATATTTTGTCCTATAAAGCCTTATGAAATTAAGGAAGCAACAATTCAGGCTTCAAGGCTGAAGGAGCTGACTCAAACAGTCAGAAATGGGCATGGGCTGGACAATACCATACCAGAACCATACCACATCAAAATGCACATGATCTCATCAAAGGCTTCCTGTCAAACAAAAAGGTAGCATTACCAAGGAGACGCATGAGCTAAAAGCCTTTCTACATGCATGAGAATTTTGACATGGTGGTACTATTATAACAAACAAACTAGCAAAAAGCACTCCAAGGTGATACAGACCTGCCAGAGGATTGTGCCACTGTTGACTTAGCAGAAAGGTGAAGCAGAGATTTGGCACCTCAGGTGTTCACTTCTGGTGTTTACTTCTGACCTAGCAGTTAAGGAGAGACAGATTCAACAGCCCTTATGGATGAATTCAAAGACAGTCGTATTAGTCTGGAAAACCAGTATGCAAACGGATCTTGTCGCACCTTAGAGACTATAGAGCAGGGGTAGGCAACCTTTCCCCTTTAAGGGCTGAGGGACTTCAGCTTCCAGAATCCCAGGAGCTATTGGCCAACATGGGACTATTGGCCAACATGGCTGAGGCTTCTGGGAGCTGAAGTCCCTCGGCCCTTAAAGGGGAAAGGTTGCCTACCCCTGCTATAGAGCTTCTATGCATGGTTATTCAGAAACATGTCCTATTGCACTGAATGGATTTCATTCCCAGGAAAATGTGCAAAGAATTCTAACTCTGTCACAAATCTTCCCAGCTTTGTATGAAGAACCAGAAATGCTTCTTTAACAGAGTGACTTGCTTCATATGTTAAAATGTTGCTGAGAGAGTTGATGGTCTCTTATGGACTGAACTTTACCATTGAAGGGATGGTATATTCGACCCTTTTGGAGTAAGAGGTGAAGCTAGAACTAGCTTAGAAAGAGAAAGCAGGAGTGGGATGGGAGGTACAGTGAGAAAACTTAGTGGAAAGGTTATAAGATGGGATCCCATTGTTTAGAACAGCCTTTCTGAATCTGACAGTTTCCAGATGTGTTGAAGTCCCACATTCCCAGGCAATAGTCACATTATGAACTTTTCAGTCCATCTGTGGGAAACAATTGTAGGTTGGAGGAAAGCAACTTTAAAGCTACGAGAAGACCACTTTTTAAGGAGCCAGTAATAAAATGTGCTCCTAGGGTCAACAGTGACAACCATTCTCTGTTAAAAGATTACTACATGCAGCTTTTAAACATCAATTACAGTTGGAAAATAGCAGCTTTGGTGATACTTATTACACGATGTCACCTCCGACCTGCAGCTGCTGTGTCTCCAAAGTGTGCTTAGGGCATCCTTTTTCACTGATGGGGAAAACCTGTCAATAAGCTCCCAATTGCATTGCAATCCCATTAGTCCTCAAGTGTGAAATGTCACTGCTGCAACAGTTCCAATATTGGCAGTCATGT